CCCCCCACAGCAGCCCCCCCCACCAGGCAGAGACCCCCAAGTCCTGATTCTGCTCTCCTCCTCCCCTCACACTCTGTTGCTCAGGACGGCCCTTCCCAGAGGCAGAAGCAGCGCCCCATGGCCGTCCCGCCTGCCATCCCCACCTCTTGGCACCAGAGCCGGGTACAGTCCTGAACCTGCAAACACAAACAGCATTGCCTGGGCAGATCCAAGCCCGTGCGGCCACGCTCGCGCTGACATCACGGGTGGACAGAGCCAGCGCCTGTTGGGACCTTTCCTCCAGGACGGGCAGCCAACCTGGAGCGCAGCTGGGGTGGAGGAGCCCTTGTGAGGAAAAGGTGCTGGCCTGGCCTGGGGGGCGTGGGACGAGCTGTGTGGGCAGACAGGGACGGAGCCCTGTGTGCAGCACTCTGTTGGAGAGGCTGGTCCCGTGGTGAGCAGGGCCCCCGGCATGCAGCTCTTCGCTCCATGGTGTGTTTACACTGGCAGCACCGGGAAGGACATGGGTCTGCGAGCTCCAGGCAGGGAGATATGGCTGGTCTGCACCATCCCCATTCAGTGTGACCGCTGCGGGAGGGGCAGTGTGGCTCCAGCTGTCCCTGGAGCTGCTGTGCCAGTGCCCTTCCCCGTACAGCGGTGCATATCAGGGGAGTAGCCCTGCTCTGGCTGTGTCCTTGCAGCTGGGTCCAGAGATGCTGGCAGGCAGCACCGCGACCCAGACGGCTCGGCTGCAGCAGCTCAGGCGTGTGGGTCTCCTTGGCCTGATGCAGTGCTTTGTGCTCAGCCCCGTGGCCTCGCCTGCCTCCATAGGGCCGGTCCTGCCCTGGGACACTCCACTCTGCACTGGTGCCACGGGCTCTGCCAGGGGATGGGATTCACGTGGGAATAAGGAGCCATCTCTGCTGCCCCAAGGTAGCAGGGCCAGCCCATCGCTCCTTCTCCAACCCCGCAGACATGCTCCAACCCCAGCTCTCCTGCTCCAAACATGCTCCAACCCTGCAGACTCCTGCTGCAGGACTGACCTCCAGCCCAAGGACTGGACAGTGCTGGGCACGGACACCCTGTTGCACAAGGCTGCAGGCAGCGAGGCTTGGCT